CCGGTATTTTGGCCAAAACGGTATTTTGAGTGTAAATGTACCGGTCGGACCACCGGTATCCGGTATTACCGGTAATACCGGCCGGTACGAACCGGTATTTAAAACATGGAATCTCACATAACCATGAAAAAAAGACAAATTATTTGTAATGAACTTGATCTCAAATTGACTTTTTTTGGTTGTCATATACAGCATAGGCAAATCATTTTTTTAGATTTTGTAGCCGTTAGATCATCATGTAATTGTAGATAGTTAATCTAATGGTTACAAATCTCGACAGAATTATTCCGTAACGAGACCGTAATATCTCTCTATAGCATAATATAATTTGCGACTTTTTGTCCTATTAACCTTGTTACTGAAAAACTATATGGGTAATAGAGAAAAAATGTCATATACTAACCTTCTTGTTATTGAAAAATACTCTTTTTTCCTGATTTCCATTGCTTGGTTGAACCCATGAATTGCAGGTCACAATGATTGAGCCACTTGACGATAATACACCTTCTAATAAGATTTCTTTTACAAACATTTCTTTTTTGTGCTCATTTTCTATAATTACAGCACCAATTTCTCCGAAATCCTCTGGAATTTCGATTTTGGCTTCGTAATATGTCTCATTGTCGTTGTCGTCAACCTTATGTGCGTATGAACTGATGGTCGGTTTCTCCAATCCAGATTCTACGAAGAAAAAAATAATCGTAAAATAAAGCGAACGATTTTGGTACTAATTAATTTAATAGTACTGATGTTGATGATAATGATCGTAGTGTTACATAAATATCTGTATATTATTAGAAGTGTTACGATACATAAACAATATTTTTGTAAAGTTTCACGCCATACGTTTTCTTAATTTCCAACTATTTTACAATTATAATTGAATAAATTGCAACTCATCTGAACTTTCGTTTCACGAAAAAAATAAAATAATAATGATGCTAATTGAAAAAATTGAAGAGTATTGAAATAGGGGAAATATATATTTATAAAAGTGTAAAGGCGAGTTGTTGTACTTATATTAATTTACTTTTGACTAATTAGTTGTGACATAATTAACTAATAAATAACATGTATATCTCATACTTTGGCCAATAATATAGACATTATGCACGTATAGAGCTGTAGATATAATTAGTTTGTATAGACATTATGCACGCACTACAAGAAAACATTTCAATTCAAACGGCAAAAATTTCTGTTGGAAATTCTAATGAATATTCCAACAAACTTAATTTTATGTTGGAATATTAAGTGTTGGATGGTTGAGGAATTCCAACGGATTTTTTCCGTTAGAATAGTTGTAGTAATTTATTTCCAAAGGATTTTCCATTGGATTTTAGCTATTCCAACGGCCGTTTTTCCCACGAATTTTTATACGTAAGAATATCCGTTGGAATAGCTATTTCAACGGAAAATATGAAGAATTCTAACGAAAATTTTCTGTTGGAATGTAGAGTTTTTTTTGTAGTGACGTATAGGGGATAGATATTAATTTGTTATTAATTTAATATATTATATAAAGAAAAAGTGATATATAAATAAGTTATAATTCAGAAAAAAAAAAAGTTATAATTAAGTCTTTTTCTTTAATTTTTTAAAAGAGACAAATAAATGAGCATTAAATTACAAGACAAATAATTTGACAAAATACGCTTCACAATATATAAAATAGACTAGTATTATGTCTTCTTTTTTATGGTTTTAAAGATATATATTATTATTATCACTATTATTATTATTATTATTATTATTATTATTATTATTATTATTATTATTATTATTATTATTATTATTTGTGGTTTAATATCAAAACTTCCTCAAATTGAAATGTATAAAAGAAGTCATATCAATATTTGGAAAAAAAAAAAAACAAAACAAAAACAAAACTGTTGAAATTTATATAAATCAATATTGTGACCATTTTGTTAAATATGTGTTGCCAGTTTTTTAGAAAAGAAAATCGGGACCACCGATCTGTTTTTCGTTTTAAATCTTTCTTTTTACTAAACATTCATTATATTTTATTTATTTATTTTCTATAATTAATTATATTATTTTTAAAGTGTAACATTTCATTATAATAATACATATTTGTTAAAAAAAATGTCTTTCTTTTCCATTAGCACAATTAAAACACGTGACGACAAGACTGATAAAAAGGTTTATACGACATAAGATAATTTGAATCTTTTTATTTTTTATTTTTTTAAAAAAAAAGAACATTTCAATTGTAAGATATTATTTAACGGAAAAAAATCAAATAATTATATATTTAGCAAAAGAAAAAAAAAACATATATATATATATATATATATTTATAAGATAATGCTCTCCTACCGATGATGGCACATGTTAATATGTCCACGGTCCACCGCTTATGTGACATTCAAATATTGGTGATGCTAATATGTTAAAAAAAATACACAACCAATATGTGCATGCCACGTAGACATATTAACATGTGTCCACCGTGGGTAAGTGAACATTACTGTAAATATAAAACAGTCACACTCTTCTTAACATTTATGGTGAGTGGTGAAAAAAGAGGTGAATTAAAGGAGTCCTTCAACCTCCTCAGCTCCATATTTATGTAACTTCGACACAACCCGTACACGTAATAATTAATACGTGAACTTTGAAACTTAATTTCATTCACTATTCTTAGGATTATTTTAAAAACAATGATAATTAGTGTGAATTCATAAAAACTGCACACTGCATTATACTTTAAATAATTAAAAGATTCGATAGACTTACTAGGATCGAGCTCGGCCGCCACAAGCTCAACTAGGAGGGTTTTACCGAGCAAGTCGGTGATGTCATCGAGCCCACGGCTAAGGCCGCTCAGTATTCCGCCCACCGTCTGTAGCACGGTCACGACAGCTTTCACGCTCGTCGTATTTCCACCGGCGGCAGGGGCCAGCACGGCTTTTGCTGCGGAGGATGAGTCGCGACGTTGGAGAACGGGTTTTTTAGCTGTCGACATGGGATTTTGCCGAGGGAAAACGAATACGGAAGAGCACCCTGCGGCAATTGCTCGACTCGCGGCCGGGCTCGGGGAATGAAGGAAGTTTTGGGGTTTAGGTGAATTGTGGGGCTTGTGCAAGCTAGGGTTAATGAGCATGTTTTATGTAGTTATATATAGAAATGTGTGTATAAGCAGTTGTTTGGAGGAATGAGATTTGTAGTTTAAATATTATGTCATGTGTAGGTTTTAGTTTTAGGAAGGTGCATGTATGACTACGTACATGGTGATAGGTAGGAAAGTAGGGAGATAGGAACACTTTGTGTACACTTGCATATTCAGATAATGAAATTAAAATATTATGTAGATTATGAAAATGATATGAAAGGTAGAATATTAGGGGCCACTGGATGCAAATTATTTTTGGTTTCGTTGAGTTGTCTCACATTGGTTCTACAGAGGAATTGGACTTAGCTTATATGCCTACTCTTCTCGTCACCAATTGATTTTGAGATAGAATCTCACTATAGTGCACATAGACTCACCCTCTTATAGTACATTTCATCTACATGGGACCGCACCCTCTTGCCTCGATTCTCTAAAATCTCACATGGTATCAGAGTAGGCCAACTCCGGCCTTGGTCTCTATCTCTACCCGGCCTGCTCTAGGCTTGGGCTTATGAAAGACTTACAAGTGAGGGACGTGTTGGAGTATCACTTGTGAGTTGTATCACATTAATCCTATATATAAAGAAATTGGTTGTAGCTTATATGCCTAGTAGACTACTCCTCTCATCATCAATTGCTTTTGGCATGGACCTCACTACCTAGTGAGCTACGCCTCCTATCACCAATTGGTTTTAAGATGAAATCTCACTATGGTGCACCTAGGCTCACCCTCTACCGCACCCTCTTGCCCCGATTCTCTAAAATCTCACATTATCCACTGATGAATCTGATGAGTTTCTATAGAAATATCAGGCGGAATCTGATGAATCTAATGACTATTTTACCAACAACTTTTTACCGTTGAATATGATAATTTCCGTTGGAACTTTTATTTCCACTCGTATTTCAATCGCCGGAAAATCAAACGTTGGGATCGTCAAAATCCAAAAAAAATTCCAATAGAAAACTCAATATAGCCGAATATTTTTTGTTGAAATTTCTATTGGAATCCATTAAAAAATTTCAACGAAAATAATAGTATTGAAATATATATTATAATATATTTCCATTTGAATTTTTTCATTTGCTTGTGATTTCGTTGAATAATTTATTTCATCACAACTATATTTTTATATACTTTTTTTTTTCCACAAATATTACGATTCATCTGTTTCTATTATTTTCATTCTACATTTTATCATTATAATTCATTAAATCTTCCAATAAAATTTGTCATTCATTCATTTTTATATCTTACTATTTTATTCATTTATTTTATATCTATTTACTATCTCAATATTAATTCATTCTTGTACAAAAAACAAAAATCACTTTTTCATCACTTTTTTTTTTAAATAAAAAAAAATAAATTATCTATATCCAATCACACATACTATTTTTCATTTTTCTTAGTAATGTGAACAACTATTTTGTAGTAGGGGGCTGCTAATTAATTAATGGTGACTATATTATACCGACGACCAAGACTTTGCAGCTTATGAATAGTCATGCATGCTGCTAATAATGTTCTTATTTTCAACCCAGCTGGCCGGATAATTTAAGGCCACATATATGGCTCATCAAGGACGGTACTACTCTTATCCCCGCAATATAGTCGACTAAGTTTTCGCCTCCTTCATTGTACCGAAGAAAAAAGGACGGTAATACTAAAACTATGCACGACTGAAATATAATTGTCACAAAGGGCAACTAATTATAACACCTCACAACTAACCCTATATAAATAAACTTTAAAAAAAAAAAATAATTGACTTTAATTTATGTTTCCAACTACTCTAGAATAGCACTGTGTATTGAATTAATTTTTTGCAATTGGTAAATTTAATCCAGCATTTATTTGTCAACTACAATTTTATTTCCATTTCATTTATAGTTAATTAAATTTTGTAATTGGTAAATTAAGTTTTTTCGCCCTTGTGTTCTTACCCGGCTCGATTTTGGATTAGTCGGTTCCCCTGTGGATCCGGAAACCGGAAGGTCCCTGTACCAAAAAAAAAACAATAACATTTGCTAATATAAGTATGTATATTTAAAATTGTCATACTTTTTAATTTTTACTTTTTACAAATTTTTGTCTCTCTCTCTATATATATTTTTTATAAGAGTAGTGTTACCTTGTAATTGGCAAAAATTTAATTTTGGTCCGCTAATTTGTCCATTGTCCACTTTTGGTACACTAACTTGTCATTCATAAAAAAAGGTCCATTATGTTACACATTTCATCAGTTTTAGTACGCTAATCCCGTGGCCCGTGATTACGAGATGCCAAATCATTTTTTTATCCTACCACCTCAACATCTTATCCCTCCACGTAGTTCCAATCCCGGTCCACATCATCTCGTAATCCCGCCAACTAGATTAGTGTACTAAAACTGATGAAAAATGTAACATAATGGACCAATTTTGATGAGGGACAAGTTAGCGGACCAAAAGTGGACAATGGACAAGTTAGATGACCAAAATTGAATTTTTACCCCTTGTAATTGGTTGTACTAAAATTTGGACAGTCCAATCTTAATTTCATTTCATACTCAGTAGCGGTTGACTACGCAATCCTTTTTTATTTTTTCCAAATGATAGATTTTATTAACAAACATCAAAAAACTAGAACCCAGCCACAGCCGACTACAACAGCCACACGGCCGAATACACAGCTATAGAATTGAATCTAGCAGAGAGAACTACAATAAAGTGTAGTCTAAAACCTACCGACCTACCACAATACACACGCTAAACGCAACGCATTCCTCGAAACAGGTAATTTGTCTTTGGAAGGCTCTCAGTTTTTTGTCTTTCGTTTTGGCATGTGTACAACTGAACCTTTTAAGTAATTAGGTTTGTCTACAATCACCTCATTGAATAGAATACAGACAATTTCCATTAATATATAAAAAAGCCTATCCATTGATAAAGAAAGTAGTAAATATTTCTGTAACGCAACTTTCCTATTCTTGAATTAATAAACACGAGAACTTCGTACAAATAGATTATCAACACATCAAATGAAATATAGTAGATTACAAATCTTCAATATTCCTCTGATTTCTTCAAGAACGATCTTCAAATGGATTTTTGACTTTTTGAGACGAATCTTCAGTTAGATCTCTGTCGGTCTTGATTTTGAATTTAAATAACGTTTCTTAGAGCGCTTGACAGCTTTGATTTGGAATCGAACGCCGTGATTTCCCAAGAACGTGGAGAACACGAGTTCTTGGCAGTCTTCGCTGCAAAGTTGATCTTCAATCTTCTCTACGTCGGTCTTGACTTTAATAATGTAATTTGGAAGCTTGGCAGCATGTTTCGAGATTAAAAGTTTGTTTTGAGCTTGAACGTGTTTGAACCTTTCTTCAAATCTTCAAAAATGCCTTTAGTTCTTCAAGGATACTTGAATCTCATCGAGAGAATTGCCTAGAGCTCTTCTTGTGATCTGGAATATGAATTGTGTTTTTGTCCTTAGAGAGATCCCTAATTATAGGTGTAAGGAGGTAGAGTCATGAAGAAGAAGATTTTAATTTGATTGGTCATAATTTTCAATATTTATCTCTTAATATTTATTTAAAGAGATAATTAGGAGATAAAGTGTTTGGAAAAGATGACTAGGTCATGAATTTCCAATATTTATTTCTTTAATAATTATTAAATATATAATTATTTATTTTACTTTCCAAGATAATGACATGTGATATCTTTACTTGACCTTCAGGATATACATATGACATTCTTTAATTGACCAACAATATATATTAAATAATCAATTTAACTCTAAACAACTTGTCGGTAAAAATTAGTCCAAATCGAAAACCATTAATGTTAATGATTAAGAATCAAACAACAAAGGAGCAAAAGTGTACTTAATTATTTGAAGGAAAAAGGCCTTGTTTTACGTCATTTGAGGCAA